CGTTGGCTCTCTCCACAGCCAGCTACAGGTCCGAGACTATCCGGGGCCTGGAGGCAGTCGAAGGGCCACTGAGTGCCGCCTACACTCCAGCCGCACCCCCTGGCACAAACTCGGACCGACAATTTAACTCAAAAGCGCTCTAATAGGACTCCGCGTCCACAGTTTTCTCTGCTTCATTTCTGGCCCAAGACTCCGGTCTAAGATTCAAAGGGATGGTAAATTACCCAGCACTTGGCTGGATCTCTCCTATCCGTTCTTGCTCCATCATTTCATCTGTAAGGGATTGCGACGGGATACAGCTTACAATTCAGCTTTAAGCTTTAAATTAGCAGGCTTATTCTAGAAAATAATCTAATAACTGCTCTCTATTTGGAAATACAAACATCTCTTAGATCGTTAGATTAATCAGTACACAATGGTATTGTCGCAATCAGCCAACTAAACTAATGTGATTTTGCATATTTCATATGCCATATATTATGTAGTCCATCAGAATGTAACACTCTGCTTCAAAACAAACACACGATAGATGACTTACTGATTCACTGCGCTGGGAAGCAGTTTTGCATTCTGGATTGCAATCTGTATAGCTTGCAAGAGACAAGGGATAACCTCTCCTTTTTCATAAACCTTGGAACGAAAGACGTTTTGTTCTAGCTCCTGCCAGTGAAAGTTGCAGCACTCCCCTTCTTCTTCCTCTTGTACACAGCAGAGATTGTCGCAAAATTGCCATCATCCCCTTTGTTGATGTTGTAGAGCTTTTTCTCCATCTGGTGGCTATGTTCGGCTGTGCCAGAAGGCAGGAGGTTAATCGTTGGAGATATTAATATTCCTGTACTGAGTTCTTGCTTGGTTCTTTGTGTCAGCAAATCTTGGTACCCGGTACTCTTTATCTTTGGAGTAGTCTTGAAGGGTGAGCAAGGCAATTTTGTTGTACAGTACGTCATAACAGCGCCCATTGGCTTGTCAATGCCAGAAGCCTTCATGGAGTAAAGGTACGGTAGGACCACATCTGTCCTCCCAGGTGCTCGCAGTCAAAGACTTTGTCTGTGTTGGTATCTTTTCCGTCTTCGGGCACATGGGGGCTCTTGACTTGCACGACAAACATGGGCTGATGTGACCTCGACACTTCAACTGAACACGAGCATAAACGGTTAGGTCAAGCGCAAGGAGAGCATCGTCCACCATGGTTTTGCAGAGCTCTTGGATTCCAAACGCATTTGTGTATGTGAATGGCTGCCCCTTTGCCGTGGCACGTTTTATTCCCAACTGGCATGGTGGTATCAAAGCTCCTTCGCTATCTTCCTTTGACGGGGATTGTAACCTGATCAGGACTCAACCACATCTTTAAGTTAAAACTGGTAGCTAGTCTAGTAGAGAAGCATGTAGGTACCGGTTGGGGTTTTTAACAGCAATTAGGTAACAGGGCAAGTACTACTATCAAAAAATACACGGGAGTGGTTCATTTCTTTGCGAGCAAAATTTAATGTTGGCTATAGAGTAGGTAGGCAGGTAGGTAGGTATGTACGTAAGGAAGGTAATGCAACGCAGATCATTATCATGCCGCCTGAGGAGGTGAGCTCCAGCAGCTAATGTTGATGGTCATGTTGGTGACATCCTGTTGCACTTGCCTGGAGTATTCGTCCAATCGTTCCTCCGGAGCCACAACCAGGTCGTCGTCTTCGTCGTCGCTGTCATAGTAAAAGCTAGGCTTGTAGATATCCGGCAAGACCCCGACGCTGCAAGTTCGCTTGGTTCCAGTGCTGGGAAGTGCATCTTGCTTGCCTTGTGGTGGTTGCAGCTGCAGTTGTTCCACTAGCGATTGGCGCATCTTGGGTCCTAGCCGCGTAGAGGATCGGCTACGGCGGCTTCGAGGGGCTGCAGTAGAAGTCTCGGTGGTCGTGGTGGTGCTTGTAATATTAATAGCACCCATACTAAGTGCACTGCCCATAAAGTTGGTAAAAGAGCGACTTCTACGATGAGGTCCGTCAGTGTCAACACGCTTGTGACGGGATCTACCACGCCCTCCTCCTCCTTGCTGTTCCGGGGACTTTGTAGGCGAGAGCAAGGAAGTGAAGGAAGAAAAAGAAGGGATTCCCACCACACTGTGATCACTGGCATCACTGACACTATCGGTAGCTTTTCCAGACCGTCTTACACTACCGGTACCACTATCACAGCCATTGGTACAACTGGCAGTGTGGCCCGTAGTGCCGTGACGGTTCTTGCGACGACGGGCTCTACGAGCTTTCTTGGCCAGGTCTTCCATATCATGGGCATGCCTATACATCTCCGCTACTAAATCAGTCTCATCTTTCGCTTGCTTACCACTGCTGTTACCTAACGAAATGCCCAAGGCTGCTGTGCCACTAGTGAGACTCACACTTAGGCTGTTCTTCACGTTATTCAGGCCTACTTTGGCATCAGGCAAAATAGAGTTCAGGGGGAAGATGTTGCCGGTAGACGCAGATCTCTTCATGGTTGCTATTAATATCAACTTGCAAGTTGAGTTGAATGATTCCTTGATGGGATAGCTAGATTGCTAGCTAGATAGCACGATGCTCTTACAAGCTTAGCTTTTTGGATTTTGGAATTTTGGAATTGTGGGCTCTTCTGTCAAGTGGGAAAAGACGAATGACCCTGTCCTTCACGATTACCAGTCAAAGAATTCAAGCCAGCCAGAAAGAAGGCAAAAGCCTGGCCCAACATGTCACGGTGGTGGAACCCTCGGCAACCACAGCAGATAAGTTGTTGATAAGTTGTTGGAGGAGATATCAGATGCTCTCGAACTCGAGCCAGTAAAGTATCTTGGCAATCTGGACTTCAATAACTATAACTATTATAGCTATTACTGTACTGTATTATGCACCGGTTGGTACCAGGTACATGTAATAAGTCGATGAAGAATCCAGTAAGGGTGTACAGCTGTACCACAAGCCACCGGTACATTCTTACAGAGAAACCCTAAGATTTCCATCATCTATCGTAGTCTACATGTCTACATGTATTGCCCCAAATTACCAAACAGGCCACACCTCCACACCTCATGTCTTGCATCTTGGATACTAGTACTACTAGTAGTAGCTTCTTGGATGCAAGTTGGATAAGGGGTGGGCATAAGTCTGATAGCTGTCTGCTTAGAAGTCTACTTAGCAATGTTACGTCGTTAAAACCTGATAGCAAGAACGCTAACTGACGCAAGTCATTGTATTTTTAGAAAAGAGAAGAGTCTGATGACTTACTTGAAAAAAGAAGGAGCTAAAGAAGGTTACTTGAAAGTGCCCAAGACTCGCAGTCATATATTATGAATGCATACCCTTGCGTCACTATGTCAAAAACTTTCTGCTCATTGACCTGCTGGTACAGGAAACAACCCTTATGCCCTCTCACTGGTACACACATACATGCATTCGCCACCACGGCTTTGCGTTATCCTCACCACGTCAGTCAACTCAAAGAATGCTAACCGCTCTTATGGTACCGGTACCTGGTACAGTCGTACAGTGTAAACCAAAGTGTGTCCCTCGTCCCTCGATCCTCGATGCACCGGTCGCTCCCAAAGTACGAAATTAGCCCCAATTGTTTCGACCACTTCTGGACCCCAAGATTTACCTGCAAAAATTCAAATCTTCAGGTTCAGACATGGAAAAAGACATCTGGCAACGAACACCCAATACTAGTATCCACCATAATAGAGCACTTACGCTACCATACGAGCTCCACTCTGTCAACCAAGTTAATAGCATTGATAGTGAGGCTCTCCAATGATGGTCTGTTGATACCTTGACAGCTACAAGTGTCGAAATAGCAACTGTCAGAGGGTGTCCCAGTGTCCCACCACATCACTCTGAGTCGCTGCTGGCATCATCGTCTCCATCATCGTCTCCATTATCTTCATCCATACTCTTCAGAAAAGCTTCCTTGTCAGCCTTGGAAAGGCCACGGAGAAGACTTCTGGCCTTGTTAACTTCATTGGCCCTCTGCCGGCCGTAGGAGGTGTCACCGAGGGCAATGTCTCCATCAATCTTCTCTTTCAACTGAATTAGCTCTTCCTCATCAGCTTCCGACCATGGCTCAAAGGAAGGAGGCTCTTTGTTTTTGAGTTGCTTCCATTTGGCTACCTTCTCAGGCTTGTTTTTCAGAGCTCCTGGTATTGTCTTTGAGCCCATCTTCCAACAGAGGAGATGCCGGAGTTGGGCATTGGTGAAACTCTCCGCGCTGGCATTATTCTCTGCTTGTTCCAACACCTGAAGAGCAATCTCTTGCCTCTGTTGGGCCTCGTGCTTCTCTGCCTTGGAGGCTTCCATCTCCTTGAGGCATCCCTTCAGTTCCTTCCTCTCAATAGCAATAAACATGTCATCATCATTCAGAGCAGCACCACCAGTTCGGAGGAAATATTTGCCACCGCCAACTTTGGTTTCCTCGATGGCATCCTGTCGCTCTCTGGTTCGCGGCTGAGTGATGGTCTTCTTCCTTTCTGCGGCTTTGAATTCAGTCAGCTGAAAGTGAAAGAGAGATCCATTGTAACCACCAGCATCAAGGATATCACAAGACTTTCTGTTGAGGGAATTCAAGTCTCGTAGGTGTTGTGCCTCCGGATCAGCCTCTGTATCAGCCATTCCTTGAGCGGTAACAACAACCTCATGGCGCACATGTTTGCTTTTCAAAGCAGCTCTTGTAAAGTATGGATAAATGCCAAGCTTTGTGGACCAACACTTGCGCACTCGGTCAATGGCAAAGCCATCCTCAAAACTGTTCTTCAGAAGAGGAAACTGCGGATCCTCCTCTCGCTTTCGACTGTATTGACTCCCAAAGAATAACAATCCAATGTCATTCTTGTTAATGGTGGAGGCAATCTCAAAGTTGTTCTGTCGGTATTCCCATAGCTGTTCAAGGTTTTCAAAGTATCTTGTCTTGAGTAATCCAAAGACCATGTCACAGATCTGTAAGATTAGCGCATTAGAGCAACACGATGTTAGATAATCAATAGAAGAATAAGCAATAGGACGAATCGATGCTGCAATATACAAACCTGTAGAATATGAGTTGTGTTTGGTGGCCCAGATGGAAACAAATAGATGCCTCGCATTCGAAGCTGAGTTAACATCTCTTCATTCGTACGTCCGGGCCCTCCATCAACCAACAAGCAACATCTCTTTCCGGGTATATCAGCAGTATCATTGGCAACAAGAGGAACAAAGTTTTTGTCAATGTAGGCTCCGAACTCTTCTTTGGTCATGCCACCTTTTTCGTTGACGTTGTAAGTGGCTGAATGACCGGACACTTCAGCTGACAGATACTTTGCTGTTGTTTCCAACATATCCACAATAAACTCTGCGTATATCCCTTCATTCTCTTCCTTTGCATCGGTTGGGAGCTGAAAGTGTGGAGGAAATGGCTCTCCAGATGCAAAGCAGCCGGCAACAAGAGTGCATCGCCATGAACTCTTGTGCGCACCATGAGATGGAGCCGCTGAGCTGCGAGGATTATAGAAACCCATGGCCGGTCTTCCTCCTTTTCCATTCTTCTCTGTATCATCAAGGGTGAGGCAAGACTCATCCAGATTGGCAATACGGGCGCCTTGGTCAGGACTGACAAACACAAGCTCATCGTCAATGAGTTTGGCAAATCCTTGGTCAATGAAAAACTGCTGCAGGTTCGAGTACCATTGATTGATATTCGCATAGGTGGCATACTGCTGGCGTCTCTGCTCAATACGGTTTGGTTTGCCAACGTTGAGCTCTCCAGCAAGCTCAGCTTGTACTCGGTCAAAGAGTTTCCTGCCTTGACGGGAACCTTCACCCTCAAGCTTGTTAACACAAGCATTGACCATTTTAGTGAGTTTTGGTCGCAAATTCGTGACTTTCTTTCCATCCTCAACAGACAAGAGACTGTATGACTTGACAGCATCACAAAGAGCCTTGAAATACTCTTCGGGCAACTTCCCAGGCTCTCCACGCTTCTTCAATACCACTCGATTCTCTAGCACAGCATTGCGCACACTGCGTCCAATGAGTTTGATTCCGTGGACCTGAGCAAGTGGCTGTGCGTTGATCTCGCCACAGATAACCTCAGCCGATTTCTTCTTATAGGCCTTCCCCTCAGCCTTCAACCGTTGTTCTTTCTCATTCTCCTGCTGAACGGCCTCACAAGCTTCTTGGAACAGTTTGGCTTTCAGATCCCTGGTTTGGATATTGACTTTTCGCTGTCCTGCAGCTTGGTGGGAGGTCCTCCGCATCTTCATCATCTTGGGAGCTGTTGGCACGATGGGGATAACACTCTCTTGAGAGTCCGGAAATGGAAAGACTTTCTCATCTTCAGAGTCCAACTCGATACTCTCAAAGTCATCTACAAGTTGCTTCTTCTGATTATCTAGCTTGCTCTTTGCCCGATGAACTCGCTTGTGGAGGTTTCTGTTTGCTCTATCTTCTGTTGAGACTCCAGCATGCCGAAGAGCTGATTGAGCAGTCATTCCTTGACCATTCTTGGCCAGCTTGAGTATCATTCCTGCAGTTTGCACAGCCTCATCGACTCTCTTTCTGTTGGGTCTGCTCATGGTGCGTACTAGAAGGCGAGAAAGCGACGGCGAAAGTCCATTGTTGATCGATACGATCGTCTATAAAGTGTTCCTTTTCGCTGATGAAGAGCTGCATCTTCTACTTATCTTTATTATCTATTTACGAAGACCGGCGAATGATCCGATGGGTTGCTCGTGTCTTATTGCAGATGTGTGCTCGCCTACCATTGTTTGTGGTCAGAAGTTCTGGATGGAAGGCAAAAAGTGAGTGGTGTTTGAGTGAGTTTCCTTCCACCCCGATGTTCTGATCAAAAAATTTTGGCTAAGTCGGAGGGCGCGCTGCAGAGGTGGGACAGGCGATCGAAACAATTGGTATTAAATCTGTACTCAGAATTCAGAAGGAGAAGGTGGCTCAAGGGAAAGGTGCCGCCTTCATCAGGGCTCTAGCTAGCTACTAGTAGAGCGATGTTGTCGTCACAGATAGGTTTACTTGGAGGCTGGGGGGTGGACATTTCGATTACAGAAGATCCATCTGGTGCACGGTTAGCTGGCATCACGTCAAACACCAACGCACCAATGAAAGCTTTGGGTTTCCCTTGCCCTTCTGTTTTTTGTTTCAGTTTCCGGTTTCTTCCGACGTAGAGAGATAGAGACGAAAGCCATGCCAATGTTAGCGGGATGAAAAGTCTCTTCGTTTCAGTTGGCTGTGATCTCAATTGCGCTGCGTGGTTGGGAGAAGGAGAAGCAGGAAGAGATGCGAGAGTTATCGGTGGTGCCATTGTGCCGAGAGCTGTGTAACTAACTGTTCATCGCTTCATAATGTTGGCAATTGGCGACCTGGTCCAAGTTTGTTTAACTATTGGGAAGGATATCTTTCAGAAAGCAAGAGTAAACCAAGAACCTGTTTCCTTGTACTACGGTAGCAAAAAATCCCAACTTTCCGGGCGCAGCCCGGAAAGTTGGCGGGGAGCCTGGAGAAAAGGAGGAGAGTTGGGAGAATTTGGAGAGTTCGCGATGGAGGTTATTGCTCTTCAGCTGCTCTGTCTAGAGGTTAGCTTTCCAGGAGTTTTCCACTAGCTTTCAGCAGCTCGTTGAGCTTTGTCCAATTCTGTGACAGTTATCTTTCCCAGTTCTCCAGCTAACTTTCAAGGCAAGTTGTCTGAAGTGAGTGAACAATTCTGGAAAAGAGGGGTCTTTTTGGGTGTTTGCGAGCTATTTGAACACAGCACGAGCTCCTCTCACTGGCTCCAGCCTTGCACTCAAACACCAGACCAACACAATGGTGGTGGCTGGTGGAGCGATCTCTCACAGCTGCTACTATTACTACCATTACGGGTAAGTCTATTATCAGGTGTTACTATTGAAGGCACTTCTCTCTCTCATTAGATTCGTATGGTAAAAAGGAGGTTGAATCGATCGATCGAACGACTGGTACTGTACGGTACGAGGTAAGCCTATTATCAAGAGTGTTATTGAAGGTACAGCACTGACTTCTCTCCCTCATTAGATTTCTATGGTATTCAGGAGAGAATTCCAAGCTCGGCCGTCAACAGGTGAGTTGTTATTTAATTACTCGAATCGAATCGGTCGCACCTCTACCGGTACCTCTACCAGTACCGGTATTATCCAAGCCAAGCCGACCGTCTCCGGTGCAGATTGGAAAACCATCCCTCATTGAATCCTATGAACGATGGGATGGCAATCAGTTCTCGACCCATGACAGCCAAGTTGGTGGAGTTTGAGAAACAATGGTAAGTCGCCGGTTTTCTTGAGCGACCATCAAGAAGAGAATCACACTGCTATTCTTACTTTTTCTTGAGCCGCACTGCTATTCTTACTTTTTCTTGGGCCGCTCCTGACTGCCGATGAAATCCCATTGTCGAGCCCTACCGACAGCATAAACGAAATCCCATTGTCGAGCCCTACCGACAGCATAAACGGATCTATCGTCGTCGAGTCATTGAAAGGCGACAAGAGGAGGCTGCGCGACAACACACAAGAGAGCGACAACACACAAGAGAATGGATCCTGCTACTGGATTCATCCCTCCAGTGTTATTTCCTAGTATTTTCGTGGTGATTCCGGTGTCGGTACCCATATTCCTGCACATGATTCCGGTGTCGGTACCCATATTCCTGCACAAGTCCTCGTGCGACACAAGTTAATGCGCCGACGGGAAAATACGACAAATTTCGCCTACAAAACACAACAAGACAAATTTCGCCTACAAAACACAACAAATTTCGCCTACAAGCTGCATTCTGTCGTCGCCTCTTTGGTTGTGGTTGCCGACAACACTTCCAGATAACGCTTCCAAACGGCCCAGATTCATCCAAACTGCGACAACAGTGACAAAAATTTCTCTCCGGCAATGTCACCCCTTCATGGAACCCACTTTGGTCGCTGAATGTGTAGTGGTGGCTGGAGCCGCTGCCATAGTGTTTGGTTTGGCCAAGTCGGCGGCTTGGTGGCATCCTTTTCAGTCAAGGCTACTAGTACAATCAACCAGAGGTTACATGTTACATTCAGGAGGCTACAAGGAAGGCAGATCTCGGCCGTCAACAGGTGAGTGATTATTGGAGTCGAATTTATCGCAGAGGTGCACCTGTGCAGATTTGAATGTCATCTCTCATTGAATCATATGGTCCATGGGATGGTAGTCAGTTGACTGTGCCCAACTGTCGTTGACGTCAACCGAATGAGGAGGCTACATGGCAACACTTTTGAGCAGCCACCTCGGTCGTTGACATCCAGCACCTGTGTATCCAGCGCCCGCATGTAAGCTAGATAATGCAACGGAGACCTCCGCAACAATAGAAATATTGGATCACAGTCAGCACTAGTAGCTACAATAGAATGTAGCTTGTCTGCATATGTGTCTTTGTTGGGAAGTGTTACTGTTGTTGTTGCTTCGTTCGCGGTGTCAGCTTGGGTTTGGCCCAATTTGCCTTGAAAGGCAGCCCATCTGCCTGGATTGTACACGTAGTCTGGGAGCCCCCCAAGTGCTGCCAGCCGAATGGCAACTTGCATTCGGCTGGCTCTCTCAACTTTCCAGAGCCTACGGTGCGATCCTACGTGAATTCCCTGTAGCCCTGGAAAGTTCGCCGCCCATACTCAAAAATAGCGACCCAAGAACGTGCGAATCGAATCAACGAGACATGCAACAGGCCGTGGCTGCCTGGCTGTTTTCATGATGAGATGATGAGCTCGTCCTGGCGCATGCAGAGTTCTAGATTGCTTTAGCTACTACCATATGGTAGTAGCTAGCTAGAGCCACACATCCCCTTTTGAAATACTAGTAACTGGAAGATAAAAGATGACCCCAGCTCGATCTTTCACCTGAGTGGGTGTCGACCCATCTTGGCTGGCTACTCTTGGAAGGTGGCATCGTTGCTCAGGTGTTCTATCACTCTGGGCTCACATCGTTGGGATGGTCGTAGTGGCACTCTTGATCTCTACCGCTCTAGTAGTCTGTCCCCATTGAACTGGTCCCATTGATCCATTCCCCCCATAGCTCCCTCTAACTGCATAGTAAGGATACCGTATCATCGAAGACGTGGCACATAGTAACATAGTACTATCACAGGGCACAGGGGCAGTGGTGCAACACCTTACCTTTAGAACTCTTTGCCTATGCAACCATCCATTTGATCAGCCTACCCATCAATGTAACTGCTGTCATCAGATTTCATCAGAAGGATCTGCTTCCAGCTTAAATGGTGAGTCGATTGATTCAATTGGCCCGTGGAGTCAGCCACAGGAGGCAGGAAGGCCCAGAGCAAACGGACTCTAGCTAGCTAGATAGTCTTTCGTTGCTACCGCTTCCTCCGTGTACGCCTCGTACCGTACCGTACCGTACCATTACGTGACTTAAGCTGGAAAAGTAATCCAACCACAACCGGACGAGCAGATCAGATGGCTGCCAGAGAATGTATGCAACGCGGCCGTTGCTTCCCGGCCAGCCACGGCATCGCTTGATCTTGTCATGGAGAACGTGCGGAATGTTCAGCGCTGTTCCGGTTTCCACGAGCCCCGTCGACGAATCTGACGATTGGTGTCCTCAAAAGTGCCACAGATGAGCAAGATTTGGAACTGGAAGTCTGGCTTGATATCGATGATGGCAATCGAAAAGCAGCTTTCAGTTCCAGACTCGACTCGACTCGACTCGACTCGATCGCGAGAGTAGAAAGTGAGGAACCCGGGAATTCTCAGACAGGTGCCAGTTATCGTTCCTCGAAACACAGAAACCAACCTTTGGGAAGAACTGAGAGAAGGAGCGCAATAAGGTTAGACGGTGGTTCAGCATTCCAGCTGAAGTATTTGAAATAATGAAAGCAGGTGAGCTCAGTCCCGATCGCGAGCTAGTTTCTTTTGAAAGTCTACAAGACACCAAGGGGGTGGGTTGGCTGGCCTACGCCAATGACCCACCTAACAAACTGTGCACTACTTATGATAGCTGAGTTACTTGCATCACAACGCCAATACCAACCATGTAGAGAGGAAATGGAATTATCAAGCTTGAACAAGGATCCAGATGCACTGAAGACAATCAACCAACTGTTGGTACCATTTTCCAGCGGAGAGCAAAGGGAACGATTCATGAAGTGCCCGAACAAAGGAGACTTGATCCACTGGACCACAGGAACCACCACAGGGACCACCAACAGCAGCAGCAGCAGGGACCACCAACAGAGGTTGTAGAACTCTTGGATCATCATGTCGAAATTGGAACCTCCTAAGAGACTTTCGATCAAATCCAAGGGCCATAGAGCACTAGT